GGGGGGGGGGAGAGAGGAGGCTAATAGTCCGCAATTATAATACACACACCCTCATCGTTATTAATTTATGACAGATGATATCTGCCTCCAAAACAACAGATAGTGTAAAAATTCATATCGGACCATATGGTTGTTCTTTCTCCATGCAAACGGAACTAGTGATATTCAATTCGCTGTTCACAACTTTCTGCTGTTCAAATGTTCATCACATCCCTTATGTGTGTGTCAATAATGCTACACTTAATTCAGTATGAAATAGAAATGTGTAAGATGTTATAACGTGATGTTTTCCTCTTTAGATTACATCCTTGTGAACTGAGATTTAACGTTCATATCGTGTAGATGACAAAACGACAGAAAAAGATAAAACAACAAAACAAAAATGGAGAAACCAGACGGAGCTTGGGCTTGGGTAGTTGTCATAGCTGCGTCATGCATCCGAATCATCGTGTACGGCAACTCGTACACATCCGGTGTTGTGTACTACGTCATTTTGGACGTGTTCGGAAAGAGTAGGGCTGAGACGTCATGGATTGCTTCTGTGATCACGGCAGCTACATTTGCAACGTGTGAGTATGACGCAACGTTAAATGGCGGTTAATACAGAAAGATATTTTAGGCTGCTTGAGACGACGTCATTTCGAGGAAATAGTGTCATTGCAATGAGACTAACTTTGTATGAGTCATAATTTTGTTTATTAATCTCATTCTGTCTGTCTTTCAGGTCCTATTTCCGGCGTATTGGTGAATCGGTTTGGCATGAGGAAAGTGGCACTCGTCGGCGGCATCGTGGCATCAAGTGGCCTGATGGCGAGTTCATTTGCTACAAATTTACCTATTCTGACCTTGTGTTACGGCGTTATCACAGGTAATTATGGCAGGAGCAATTATGAGAAAGGTTGCAGGCGATTATATGACATATGAATTTAATCATTAATTTTCAGACTCAACAGATAAAGACCTTTTATTAACAATGCTATACTTGATTTCCTTTACAGCAACATATAGGTAACTACAGGCCTCGTTCTGGAGTTGTTATTATGCTGTGATATGTAGGCTCACCAGTCTACATTAAGCAAAAAAGAATAATGGTGGTAATGTATCAAGAAATTTCGAGGGGATATGGAATTTTGCCAGTATGTACGTACGTATGTTACCTAATATCGACCTAATAATGACCACAACACTGATTTGTTTTTAGATGTACGTTATTAATGCCCAGGTCACACATTCACGGATCGTTTCGCCGGATCCACAACGGATGGAAACTCACGGATGACCCTGGAATAGTCTATATCCGTGGTCCGCTACGGATGCACCACGGTTTGACTATGGGTAGGGGTTGGTTGACAACGGGGAGTGATACGGATTGCTACGGTTCGGTACGGATTAGTACGGAAAGACACGTGTTACGGCGTATACACTGCGGATAAACCACGTTTCGCTACGATTTTAGTACGGGTTAGCACGAATTAGAACGGTCTGGCACGGATAAGTACGAACTTGCACGGAGCGCCAATGACCTGCCACGGTAAGCAATCCGGATACAAACTCTAGCGCTCGCGTGTTCATTCCACAATTTCATTGTTAGTACCGGTTAGTACAAGTACGTAGTTCACCGTAGCTAACCGTACCGATCCTTGGTGACCTGAGGCTGACAATGTACTACGAATAAGTACGGATAGTTACGGTTTATTACGGACTACAACGGATAAGTGTGTCAACTACGGATCAGTAAGGAGGTACTAGGGTGGCCTGATCTGTGGTGAATTTTTGAACATGTTCAAAAATTGTCCCGGATATACAAGTACTACTACGATTGACCCAGGATACAATACGGACAGCTACGGACCACTACAGATTGCCACGAATGATGCCGGATCGTATCCGTGGCTAATCCGGCGTCCGATCCGTGAATGTGTTACCGAGGCATAACATTGAGGGAAAAAAGCAATACCAGCTGTATGGTGCATTTCATTTTAGCAAACTATATTACCAAGTGTATGCTAGTAGGTTCAATCACATATGTGACTTCCTATCCTCTTTCCAAATGAAATAGGAGATTATACAACAGTAATGGTAATCAAATTTAATGGAAATCCAAATAATCTTGTTCCCAGAATTCCCCAAACGTTTGCAATAAAGCATATACTAACAATATAACCAACATCCAATACGACATATGCTGTGTGGTTAGAAGATCTTTTGCTCTAGGATTAAAGGATCATTGGTCCTCTGCACCGTAGTTTCTATATACAGTGATCTCCCCTGAATTTCATTTTGAATGTGAAGTTGTACATTTAGGCCAGGAAACGTCCGTCGACCAGGTGGTTCAGTCTGTTGGAGCGATAGGATATCATTCTGAAGTTCAGGGTTCGAATCCAAGCCTAGTCCCGCTGTAGTTCCGCTGAATTTCTACTCTCAGAAAACTGTTGTTGATTTAAATTTATATTTGTCATCTTTGTTATTTTTGTTCATAAAAGTCCCGGAAGGTATGGATTTCTTTTCAGGAATGATTTATCAAAGATATTTCGTCTGTGCGTATTGCAGAGTTACCTTCTCTTGAGAGCAGGTATTGATTGTTATGTCATTGGTTTGTGTGAGAAAATTACGTCGTTTTCTCAAAATATGATGACGTTACTCTCACAAACAAATGACTTAACAATCAATCCCTGCTCTAAAGAGAAGATAACTCTGCAATACGCAAAGACGGAATAGTCATGCAAGAAAGAAGTTTCCAATTCGTATGCATATTTTTTGGCAGTGGTAAGGGGATCCTTGATTGCCATTCTTTTGTTTATGTCAACAGTGATATTTTTTTCTAAGCAGGCAAATAAGAGAAAATCAGATGTCCAGATGTTATATGAATCAATATCTTTACAGGAATTGGATGTGGACTCACATTTATACCAGGTAGTGTTGCGGTTGCGAGATATTTCACCAAGCGGAGGAATATCGCAATGGGCGTGGCCGGAGCGGGGAGTGGGATTGGCTCATTTGCGTTTCCACCAATTATTAACTACCTGACCGAGAAATATTCTTGGCGGGGCATGTTCATGATTTTATCTGGAATATCCTTAAACATGTGCATGCTTGCCTTACTTTACCGACCTGTGACGTCACCTAACAACAACAGTGTCGAGGTGTCGGACCAGGAGCAGCCAATCACAGAGAAGAAAGAAACAGAAAGAAAGAAAAATGTTTGGACATTTTTAAAATTAAGCGATTTTTATGTTCTTGCTCTAAATAACATATTATACCAATTGGGGTCTACCATTGTGTATGGACATTTAGGAACGTATGCCATTCACCAACTGAAATTCGACAAAGTCTATGCCTCTATGCTATATTCTATTATTGGATTAACAGTCATGCTATTTAAGCTCGGCCAAGGATTCGTCATCCAAAACCCCAGATGGAAGTTCTTCCAATCCTATCAACAGTATATATTGTGGTACACTGTTGGGGGCGTGTCCACCATCGTCTTTCCCTTTATAGATATGGGCTATGCCGGACTAGTTGTGTTTTCCCTTTTGTTTGGGGCCAGTAATGCCGCCACCGGGGGCTCAATAATACCAGCCATTTTGATAGACTTGTCAGGCGTTGACCAGTTCACCTTGACTTATGCAATTATTCTGTTCACGCAATCCATTGGGATGCTCTTAGGCCCGTTTGTAGCAGGTATGTTACCTTACAATATTTCGATTTACGCTGCTGTGTAATGCTATTTAAGAACATGTCACTTTATAAATAGTATCAAATAGTTTAATCTATTTTTTTCTGTAGTGCACTTTGTGACAAGGTAAACAGACTTATAAGGTCATTTGACTAGTAATTAATTAAAAGGAAGTGTTTTTATTATTGTTTGACTATATACAATTTTTTTACTACAAAACTTTATCATATTTCAGGCCTACTGTTTGATACGTTGAAATCGTATGACGCTGCTTTTGTTTTGGCGGGAGTGTTGATGATAATCAGCGCCGGTATCATGATTTTTCCCTGTCGGAACTACAAAGCTCCAGAAACAATGACAGATACCATATATGTTGTTACTTCTGACCAGCACTCGGATGATGTCGAAGCTGCAAGCAATGATGGTCACGAAGAGGATAAATATATTGGCCAAACCAACGATCCAATCAAATCTTCTTTAATAAAACGAACTGGCGAATATGTATCTGTTACAGAAGCAGAGGAGGCATCCCGTTTAATCGAATCTACATTGTAGTATCAAGCGATCTTACTTGAGGTTCATTGTGGAAGGGAAACAATCATACATTAAAATGTTTTATCATCTAACTGTATAACTGTTAGATGAAAAGCCATTCCATAGTGTTTTCCATAATAATCCCGCAATGTATGGTTTTCTTTTCAAAAACTATTGATCAAATGTATAATTATTTATATTTCGCACATACCGTAACATACTCTACTTGATCAAATATATAGTAATGCCAGAACAACCCAGTTGGCAACACGAAGTCGCAGTTTTTGGCTGTGATACGACAAATCTTAAGATAAATCTGGCGTATTATTAGATCATATTATTTTTATATATAATTTATACGAAAAACTGATGGTAGTATTGCAACGATGACGTACGAATACCAAGATGAAAGTGGAGAAAATACATGTATAGTACTATGATCAAGTAAACTTTCTATTTATACTTTTTAAACAGAAGCAGAATGTCTAGATTATAGTTTTTAATGTTCATCTATATTTTTTATATTTATATTAAACAGAACCAGCAGCTGATCATTTATCCTTTGTTATCATAATATTTTGGTATTCCCTTCGTATAGATGTGTGTGGTAATATAGTGCTATTAGGTTGATATAAAAGCTGTTCGCTGATGGAAATACTTAAAATACAGCTTAATGTTCATGGTAAAACGCCTTGCCTGTAATCGAACATTTTAATCCTTTATAAGCAAGATTGAAGAAAGCAAATCTGTAATTAAACAACTCTCAGACATTGAGTGTTATTGTAGTTGTACTTGCTGCCATGCAGCACGAGAAGGGGGTTTGAAAGAAACCCTGATAAAAGATCATATATGATGCACAAACCTAATTAATATTTGAAACCACCTAAACGAAAGAGTAATTAAACCAAATTTGATTGCGATGTCAAACGGTTTTAAAAATGAATAGTCTCTACGTTTGTCAAAACGAAAAACAAATCATATTTAAACACACAATACAAATGATATTTCGCACAACCAGACAAAAATATTTTTAAATATACCGAAACATACCCTACTTGTACTGAAACAAGGGCTTTATTGCCCATCGGCCCAAAGGAGCACGTCTTTTTTTATTATTATTTGTCTGCTTGTTTTTGTTTTATGCGCTTCTATGTAATTATCCAATATTGTTTATAAGACGTTAACCAAAACGGTGCTCTCTTGAGATCTTACCGAAATATGTCGTTTGTTCTAAAATTACTTTTCTTTGTCGAACAGTCAGTGTAGAGTAGATGTAGAGATCTTTAAGTGACCGGCAGAAGAAATTTAGTACACAGTACAAAGGTTACAATGACATCGACTGAAAACAGCATTTGAATTTGTTATTTTGTTTTGTTTTATGCTGTGCTACCTTCAACTAACAACAGTGACAGAAATATCGGAAACAAAAATGCTAAAAATGCAAATTTCTTGTTATGTACGATGGCAAAATAATAGAAAAGAAACAGTGTACTAATTGTCCGTATCGGCGTTTAAAAACTCTCTATCGAAAACATACAATAGTTGCTTTATTGAGGAAGGTTTACTTTAAAACCTGGTTGATCCTGTTGATGAATTCCTTACGTTTGACAATGTATTCTTTACAACATGTAAATGTGCATATCACATCACTGTTTTTATTTCAACTGCAAAGCTGCTTGTCAAATTCCATGGTTTATCATCCAACTGGAAACATTTCGGCTTATAAAAATAGAACGTACGGGTACATCAACACAAAACATTAAAGCTCGTACATTTTTTTCAATGGTACAGAACAGATCATAATAATCTCCTTCACGTGCACATTGTTACAAAGTTTCAACATCGTGAAACGGAATGGTCTTCTTAACAATGTACTAATTAAAATTCTGTATTACGATGTTTTTCGAAAAGCATATATTGATAAGGACATTAAATTGTTTTATCTGAATTGTATTCTGAAACTACACAAAACAGATATAACAGTTGTATCCATAGCACTGGTGATTGTTCAACTAAACCATTACCCAACCTTCTACCATGCACAGTACCATTTAAGCAGTGTTACCGCTGTATTGTGACACCGTATACTATGTAATCTTTTGATCAGGTTTGAGCATCCTCTCATAAAAATGTTTCTCATATAAAGACTTTCGATTTTTCAACACCATATCTCATTCCAAACTGAAGGAACGTCTTCCGTCGTTCCCTTATGGTGAAATCTTTATTTTCCAATGTGTAAAGTATGTTGGAGCAAATTTTGTGGAAAACACGACAAAGACTAAAATGAAATATTCAGAGGATGAAATTGTAGCTTGCTGAGTTCTTCAGCATGAGTTTTCAGCAGACTGCAAGTAATCCTAAGGGAACAAACTGTACCCTTCTTCACGTCAACTAGTTTTTGTTTTCATATGAGGCCGATTTTATTGAAAAGCTTATCAGGACTGGTAACACAAAAACAAAAAGCCAAGTCCATCAGTTTCACTTTCAAATATATTGACTATGTGCTATTATATAAATATCACATTCATGAGAGGGCGATATTGCATATTAGCATTGTTGACCGAGGCGAAGCCGATGTCAACAATGCTTTCCGAGGGGTGAAAATATGCAATATCGCCCTCTCATGAATGTGATTTTTATTTTATTATACCGAGTGTCATGTTTAGGTGTTTCACCACTTCACCATTTTTAAAGGTCCTTGTGTTGATTTGACATAAACCAAGACTTCATCTCAACAGTTGTCGAATGAACCAACCATGAATGTGATTTGATAACACCCTGGCACTGGGACGAACCGTGCACGCATACGTTTGGCGCATGTAACAATTTTTGGAATAACACCCTGGCACTGGGACGAACCGTGCACGCATACGTTTGGCGCATGTGATATTTTTTTGGAATGTCACCCTGTCTTCTTTATCTTTGTAAAACGAGCAAGTAACATTGAAAATGTTCACATCTTTCTCAACCAATCAGATTACGAGATTTTAACAGAAGGTATAATAACTTTAAATAACGAGAACTCCGTTGACCACATCGATAGTTATACCGTCTTGAGCTTAAACAATGTCACTACAGACTCGTTCACTTTCGCCGCTTACCCAGATCTTCACCTGTAACATGACCAACGTTCGCTTTTGACAGGGTGACTTTTTTAATGCTTTAGTGGACCAAGAAGGCAACTAGTTTCCTTTTATGTAAATACCGGGTGTTCATTGATCATATTAATTGCATCAAGCAATTTTTCTCGGCAAAGCCTCGTGTTTGGCAACTTAAGAATCTTCTCCCTCGGGTTGAGATTAATAGAATCTATCGCTACTGGTTGTGTAAAATAGAGAAATCTCAACCCGAGGACTAAGATTTTTTGTCCAGAACGAGGCTTGCCATTTGGTTACAGGATCGAGTGACAACCGACTTTAAAGCCAGTCAATTTTACCGTTATACTGCCAAAGGATTCTTTCCTTTTGCTTTAATTGATAAAACTAGTTAACGTTAACTTCAATATCACGTTATATCACCAAGAGGGCGGTGTGGACTCATGAGCCTTCTATTTCGTCATGACTTATACAGAGGTGCACGTCGTAAGAGAGCCCTGTAATTTCCAGAGTGGGAAGAGTGTATCTTAATAAAATCAATAATAACAATAATAATAAACTTTATTTATTGAGGATAGAATACATGTTTAGCCAAAGGCTAATCTTCCACATTGTCCTCAATGTTATCTGGTAGAGTGTTTCTTGAAAGAATGGCACATATCTCCCTTTGATGTACGTGCACGTGACGACAGTGTATTAAAATGTCCATAATACACTTGTGCCCAGCAGTTACAAGTGCAACTCTTGTTAATTTTCCCACGGACTTAGATAGCAGTTCTAATCTAATTCCGTGATTTCCCCAACGATTGGTGATCCTTTAAATGCTTATTTCAATTTCTCACATATAAATGTAAATCTCTGCCTTCAGCATCGTGGTATGTCTGTCTGCTTGTTTCAATTTATCATTTGAAATGATAGAATAATAATATGTATTCAGGTAAAAGGCAGACATAATACGTAGTCTATATCACATTTTGCAAAGTGGACTTTAATATATTATGTTATTTATAAGTTACTGATTTGTGCCATAGAACTAGTAATCCGTCAAAGTGTTAAAAACTGGATTGGATTCGATTAATTTAGGCCTTTATCTGGGATGATCCATAAAGCCATATTGTGGCTTAATCCCTAATTGGACCCCATATTATGTACATGCAAATATAAAATGGTTTTACACTTGGTTTTGGGAGTATTGCCGTCTAAGGGAGGTAACTGAGTAGAATACCACGAGTCAATGAAGTAGACCTATATATTGATAAAGGGTATTTGTAAAAATATTTATTGATCTAAATTTAAACTTGATTTACAAAATATGAGTATTTAAACCAATTTCCTTGATCTAAAGGGTGTGTACTGACCAAATAGTACGAAAATGCGGCTAGATGTCAGAATGGGTAAACAAAAATGGCGGAAGAAGATGAGGATTTTGACCACAGGTAGGCGTGACCATGATAACACTGAACACAATGTGTTTTACGTCCAATTTTAACTCCTCATTACGATAGAATAACAACCATGTGCAAAACAGCTCTACCCGTGCTTTCTAGTTAGCTGATCATTTGTTACGGCACCTCGTGCCATGCCCATGGTGTGTCATAAAACATGTGACGTCTGCTGACTAGTTACAGTAGCCCCTGCAATCTGATCGTAGTTGGAATTAAATTATCAACTGCCACAGTTAGCAATAAACATATTTCTCGTCTGCACCACAGATGTCCGCATTGCACAAACAGTTATTTTAGTGATTATGATAAAAGCCGGTGTTGTGTTTCTCAGTGAACGTGGCGGATCCAGATACCTATCTGTTTTTGTTTTTTTTCCAAATTTCCAGGAAAAAAAATCAGAGTGGAGGGTTTCTTGAAGCCCAAAAAACCCTTCTGGATCGGCCACTGTTTCTTATGTAACAGGAGAGGGAAAATGGACGGCTAGATCGGGGTTCGAACTCGGGCCCTTTCAAACTCTAACGTTAGTGCAGGCAAACTCGCCATGCACCCAAATTTGCCACTCTGTGTCGAAAATGCCATACAGTAGGCCTATGTCGTCATAATACATAAGATGTGACGTAAATAACGTCATTATAGTCTTCAACACAGTTAAAGCCTTCAAACATTTTGACAAAAAGAGGTATAAGAAGGGAAAAGTTATATTATTAATTAAAACAGTGATGAAATACAGTGCTGTGCTAAAAGTGAAGATAAATCCAAGATGGCTGCCATTTTTGTCAGCTTGACACCCCTGAAATTAAAAGTCATTTGCTACGTAATTACCATGACTTTAACGTACCTAATACTTTGTGATATATCCCTTGGACTTGATTACTGCTTTTATGCGCTTTGGGATTGATTTGTACACTTTTTGGATGAATTCCAAGGATATTTCTGTCATATTGTGCGCATTGCATCCTCCAAAATTACACGAGAGGTGATGTTGTTGGCTTGTTTCATAATGTCTGTACAAAGATGAGTGTCACAGCAGTGGAACAGGGCAGTGGGCAAGACATTGGCTGTAATTGCCATTCCAGTTGTATACATATCCCACTGTCTGCAGGTGAATGCATATGCTGACCATTGGTCTGGATCACATCCTGCGGCTATAGTAGGTGGATCCAACTTTAACTTGTGCGTTGCTGGTTGAGCCAGAGGATGGGTGGACGGTTCTTTAATGAAATAATAAAAGGAGTGGTTAGGGCAGCTGCAAATGCTGCATCCAGGTCCTGGGATTCCCAATCACAACCGTCTATACTAAGGGCACTGTAGAACTGGCATATTGATGAAATTCACTTTGTTTCAGCTGTTAGTTGAGTATCAGTCACAAATGAGAGTCAACATCTTCCTAGTTTTATATCTTTAATCATAAGGATGACTGATACCTGAAATGTATATATACACAGTACATAAGTAAATGATTAGTTAAACATCATGTTTTTGCAGTAATCATCAACAGTTTGGTATCTGATTTCCTTTTTCACAACACGCTTTTTAAAAAAAATCCTTGTATAATTTTCTTTTCACAGTACGTTTATGAATGGTTTCGGGTCTAAACTCATTAAAAATATAAGTAATTTCACCCAGAGATCTCCTTCTGTTTGATTTAACGATACCACAAAGTTGACGAGAATCCCGTTCAGTGAGCTTGGAGGGTCAGCCACTTCTCTCTCTGTTTTCAATCGATCGTTCTTCACGAATACGTTGCAAAACACCATAAATTGTTGGAAGAGGGTGTCCTATTTGATTTGGCTTTCTTCCTGATTCGTGCAATGTTTTGATGAAACTTTTTCTCTGATAGAGACAGTTCTCTCTGTTAGGGCAGCATCTGTTTACAACAGACAACTGTTTATTTCGCAGATGACCAATCACTTCCGGTGACCCATGACCCTTTGCATAGCATCGCTTAAGTAAATGTGTGGACTGTGGAAGAAGGGGCATAACCCTTACATACTTTCCGAGAAATGCCCCTTTTAATCAAAATAAAAAAAAAACGGAAGTAAAATGACGCCCTAAAAATTACCTTCACTTTCAGGGCTAGACACTGTTTTTGCTTGCAATTGGTAGTCCACAGGAGTAGTTGAATAGATTATTTACTAGTCCTTCATCAATGTAACCAGTCTAAGATTTCGCGATCTACAGCACGAAACATCAAAAGAAATCGACCGTAGGGGGCTTAAAATAACTTACTGCCATAAACATATGGTGAAGTTTTAGGAACATGTTTACAATTATCATGCAATACATCTTATTTTAAGCTGTTTTCTAAATTTTAAAAAGGAGTATTCTTATTTTATAATCATAAGGACCAGTTAGGTTCAGTGATTCACTAGTCCTTGCTGAAATCTACTTGTCCAGGACTAGCGGACTAGTGTTAGTGTCGACCCCTGACTTTTGGCATGGCACCGTATCTTGTAACACAACGAATCTTAAAAATTTGGTTTGTGCGACGGACATCTCGTCAACTAAACTCATTAATCTGAGGCCTATTGGTTGTGATTAATGCATTACATACAAATTTAAAATACTGATATCTTATGATAAATGGTAATTGCAGTTTTATGGTCGACCGAGCCGTCAATGCATGTAAATTGTTTTTCTACAAGTGAACTTCGGTACATACATTGTACTGATGACTCAGTGCTTGTTTATGGAAATGACGCTCGGAAAGATTTTCATGCAATGTGTATTTAGAAAACAATCAACCCGCATCTTTTAAAAAAGATTTTTTTGCATCATCTTACGACACTTTAATTAAAACACCACCTAAAAATGATCCAGATTTATATTTGAAAAGAACTTGTTGTCAGCCTGAAAGTACTGCTGTACAATCGCATGATTGTACGTAGAGACCGACAGTTACCAAAGACTGATTTTTACATGAAAAATAAGTACACTTGCAACACCTGGGGCAGTCTCTGTTGAATAAGCCCCACAAAAAATTGTTTTAATTTTTCAGATGTTTCCCTTTAATGTGCAAGACGATCAGAGATGTACATGTGACAAATCATCAAAAAGTCGCAACCATTGAAAGCCCTAGAGCCTCTCATTTTTGGGCACCGATTTGGGAGTTTATATTTGTTCAGGACTGCATGAGTCTTCATTGCAATGCATATAAATTGAACTCATCTTAGCCGATCCCAGCCATCTTACTCAAACAGCATTAATCAGTTTCTTCAAGTTATCGAAAATTAAGCATCATGTATTATTTGAATGTAAATCATTAACATGCAAAAGGTTACATTGAAACACTTACATTACTTGCAAATTAGTGAAATGTTTGAAGGTGGTGAAACTGTACTTTGAGTAAAACCACAGAAGGCCTGGCCTGATGATGTCATAAATGTTGATGCGTGACATCATTCAGGTGTTTTTACAACAATGTTTGTATTTAAGCATTTCAGTCGAATGTACTGGTGCTTGTCGGCATTTTGATACATGCGTACCTGGACAAATTATTAACCGAAAACCTTACTAATGTGACGAGTTTGCCTACACTAACGTTAGATGAAATATATGTTGACTGTACAAGTATATGGTTTTGCATTGGTATTGATTTATTGTTTGATTGATTTGTATTTCAAATACTAATAAGTGATTTCATTGTTTTTCTGTTATAAGGTTAGAGAAACATGACCTGATCAATGGACTAAAGTCGATAGTTGAGGGCTTACTAGCTACACACACCAACAACGTATGGAACACCTACGGCGGACTGCCGCGTGTGTGTAAACAAGTTGAGCTTATCCTTCACCACGGCCTCAAAAGTACACAGGTTAGTTATACTGTATACAGGCGGGTTATACTGTATACAGGTGAGTTATACTGTATACACTGAGTTATACTGTATACACATAAGTTATACTGTATACAGGTGAGTTACACTGCATACAGGTGGGTAATACTGTATACAGGTTAGTTATACTGTATACACATAACTTATACTGTATACACATAACTTATACTGTATACAGGTGAGTTATACTGTACACAGGTAGCTTATACTGTATACACAGGTAGCTTATACTGTATACACATAAATTATACTGTATACACATAAGTTATACTGTACATAGGTAGCTTATACTGTATACACAGGAAGCTTATACTGTATACACATAAATTATACTGTATACACATAAGTTACACTTTATACACATACTGTAAGTTACACTGTATATACACAAGTTATACACATAAGTTATACTATTTACAAATAAGTTACACTGTATACACATAAGTTATATATACTGTATGTACACATAAGTTATGCTGTATACACATAAATGAAAATAGAAATGATGAGCAACAATACCACTGAATACGGTACAAAATCTGAAATCCATGTTTTATGTACGGTTTACATGTTTCGGCTAATTAGACGAGCCGTCATCAGAACCGTAAATAAAATACAGAATCTAGATGTTGGTGCTCAATCTTATATCTCTTTTGAATTGACAGGTGAGTTATACTTTATACAGGTGAGTTATACTGTATACAGGTGAGTTTTACTGTGCCCAGGTGAGTTATACTGTATACAGGTGAGTTATACTGTGTACAGGTGAGTTATACTGTACACAGATAAGTTATACTTTACAAAGGTAAGATATACTGTACACAGATAAGTTATACTTTACACAGGTAAGATATATTGTACACCGGTAAGTTATACTGTATACAGGTAAATAAAAGTCTAGACAGGTAAGTTATATGTATATATCTTATATTTATGATGCAATACTCCCACCTCACTACAAAGGTAATGTGTTTAGTGTTGACTAGTTTCACCATCCAGTGAGGCTACGGCTGGTCTATACAAAGTTTTCACCATTAGTTCCTGGATTAGATATTGTGAATAAATCACTTCGATTGTACCCACGTTTACTTGCATCAGCATTCCTACCTTTTGGTTCCCCAATCCTTCATCGATCACTACACGTAATGATCCAATAGAGGAATCAGTTACCAACATTGCCTTTCTGCATCCACTCTGACAGTTAGCTGAATTCTACATTTACTGATCCATCTGACGAATCAGATGCAGCATTGCCTCTTACCCTTTTCATTATATCTTTGATATTTATTTTCTTCAGGGGGATTTTGGCAGTCAGCAGGACTTTTGGCCATTTGTTCAGGGATTGAAACGTCTCAACCCCGTCCTTGCTCCAGCTATAGAAAAAATCAACCGCCGTTCCCTGTCTTCACCGGAAACAAGCAAGGGACATAGATGGGTTAGGGAGAGTCTGAGTGAACATAACCTGTCCAGCCTGTTAAAAACTCTCGTCAGTCATAGGAAACACCTGGAAAAATATTACTATGGTAATACACACCACAAGTCAGAAATTAACCTGTATAACTTGATTGTAACTCTATTGTGAGTTTACCCTGTAATAAGTTTACCCTGTAATAAATGTAGCTGTATGTACATATATATAGGTGATGTACCAGTTTTACAAAATTTGTATTTTCTATCTTGTACTTGTCACGGAAGTTATTCTTTTTAATGCCTCCATTAGAAGTCGAAACCCCGACCTCTGATTTACAAGTCTTACGCTTTACGAAATGAGCTGAAGAGAAATTCTCCCTAGCCGAGTTGGTAGGAAGCTGCTAGTATTTTACATTATCTTCATTCCTGATGTTTTGGCTTGAAAAAATAATATTAAGTTTGCTTTAGTTTCAGACTAAGACCTTTTTCAGAATCTTTAATTTGGTAGATATGCAATACATTTTGAGAAACAGTGACATAAGCACAAATCATGTGTACGACACTGCCAGAGAATGTCTTTAGTATGATCAATCAACAGCTTTTTCAGAGACTACCTTATTTGCCATACTTATCAACCAGGGTGCTTAAAAAAATTGGCTTACATGGAGGCTCTTATAAAGATAATTGAATATTATAGTTATGATAAAAAAAGTTGTGCAACTTCAACTGTTATCGCTGAAGTACATTATGAATATTCCATTGAGGCTGGAAACTTAGAAATCAAATATTGTATCCCCTTCTTAGTAAGTCCAGCCATGATCACCTGACATAAATCTCTGCTCTAAAGTGTAAATACTATGAAGTATTAACCAGACCTGGGAGGGGGAAGGGGTCAATATAATTTCAATTCCTCCCGGGAAAGGGGATGAACGCTAATTATGGCAAATACGGTACATGCAATCTTGCATTATGAAAGGTTAATGTGCAACACACTACATCAACTGTGAAAAGGAAAATGAAGAAGAGCAACAATAAAGAAAGACTTTGTATAGTACAGAACAGACATTATTTGTATTTACATGTTCTTCTTCCTAGCTTCCTATTGGTTGTTAAGTCTAGAGCTGTGGTAAATTACAGTTGATTCAAATAACTTACCCCCTGTAAATTACAGTTGATTCAAATAACTTACCCTCTGTAAATTGCAGTTGATTCAAATAACTTACCCTCTGTAAATTACAGTTGATTCAAATAACTTACCCTCTGTAAATTACAGTTGACTCAAATAACTTACCCTCTGTAAATTACAAAATTCAGGTATTTCCTGTTTATAATCCTTCATATGGTATGTATTGAAAAATACTCTGAATATATTAAAAACCAACTGATATGAAGAAATTAATTGCTCCGGTCACTCTGATGAAAACTGATTCATCTACTAAGTACAAATTTACTCTTCATTACGTTATCAGCTGAAACAGCTAGATTCTGATATTAAAATTAAACTCCTGACAGCTCATACATTTCAATTTTACTGTGTACTTTTTTATCTACAGACCACGCCTTTTTGCGATGTAAAGATTACTACAGCTCGCTGAATATTTGTCTTCAGGCTGTGGAACAGAACAAGGTCGCTCTACTAGCTGAACTGGATCTGGGTCTTGTATGTGCTTTTTGTTTCAAAACGATAAAGTTGTAGAAGTTGCAATGTCATTTTATCAGTAATTTTCTGTAGTTCTACGAGGCTCAGTTGTTCAAAAGGTGATTGTAGCTTCATCACTGTTCAACAACATTTCTCAGCCTCCAATAATTTGCTCAACGTACAACGTAAAAAAACTAATTTTGCAGGTAATTTTACTCTTCTAATATATTTTGCTATCTGGTAAGTTTTATCTCAGTGGTGTGGAAATTGTGTTTTAAAGGTTGATGCACAAATTATAAATCACTGATTTAGCATCTTTTAAGCATCTTGGCAAGGATTCTAGTTTCATTCAGATTCAATATGATTATACCATTTGCTTGCGGAATATGAAATTTTGGAGTTCAATATAGATATGAGTATAACCTGATACAAGATCTGGGAATATAAACAAAAACTAAATATCTAACGTCAGTGAACCTTACAGGTACAGTAATCAAAACAGGACGTTTACGTTTTCGGCTGTTTTGTTATTGTTAATGTCTATTATTGGAAATCTTTATTTCCAAAGTGCATATCCATATTGATTTAGCTTTACTGAAACCGTCATTGTTATGAGAATATGAATTTAAGTTTCCGTTTTTTTCGTGTTAGTTGAACCATGGGAGAACGTCAAGTGCTCCTGTAATGATGAGCAGTTCAGCGCCTGTTCCCGAACCTGCCAGGCGAAGTTCATACCACCAGGGGGCGCTGGCACTTGCTCCTCCTTTCACGTCACCCAAGAGAGAAAGTATCTTGTGTAAATCGGATGAATACGCTCTACCATCGAGCATAGGTATATGGTTTAACCATTTTAAATTTTGCAGTTTAACAGGGAATTGTAGTTTGATAACATGTGTCGATATTAAGCATATCTTGCTAAAATGACAACTTGCAGGTTGGCAGATTCTTTTCTGGGTACACAAACTTTCCTCCACCACCAAAACCTGGCTCGTCCTTAAATGATTATAGCTGTTGATATTATGTAAAACACATGCAACCAATCAATGGCAAATATTGGTAAAAGCTATTATTATCAACAATTTGTAGAAGTTGCAATGTCATTTGATCAGAATTATCACTCTGATAAATAGAATCTTCCCCTACCTTGATGGGTGTGACAGAGAAATGTCCTACCTGAGGGGTGATTTTTTTGGTTGCCTAACCCGCGGCTCTGCTTTATGAGAGTAATTATTTACAAAAAGAAATCCAAATCACTAAAAAAGAATCCTCAGCAAGAATCGATAGGGTTACAGGGGACAAGTGTGGAAACATCCTTTTTAATTTGTCAAAGTTTGCTAGAGGATCTCTGTACCATTGCCAAAGATTTAACTAAGATGAAATAACCAAACAAAATCAACAGCAGTGAGTTAAATTACAACAGTGTTAGACCAGGAATCAAACACGGCCCTTTATGATGAGTAACCCTCGTCAAAATGTGGGAGTCCTAATTACCAAGGTCATAGACCTAACAGTGTTACCAGCTGGTCTATGGAAGTATTCTGGTCCAGTCGCATTACAGTAAAACCCAAAACGTAATTAAGGGGAGGTTACTGTGTATATGAAATTTGTTTTTGTGGAATTCTTTGTCTGCAGTGGGACAGGAGTCCTTAAACACCAAACTTTCAGATTCATTTTGTTTGTTGCATATGTAATAACAAGTCGTTAAAGTTAAAGGTGACGGAGCGAACATCAGTTGTAGGTTTGTGGGTTGATCAGCATCCTCGATATCCAGGGGTTACGCTCACTTACGCTCTCTGTACCCCTGGAATATGTCATAGCAAAATTGAAGGCTCAGTGTGCGCCACCTTGTTGATGAGACAAGAAGACTAGTTCGATCCTTTGATGTACATCAAAAGAATCTTGCAGTCGTGAAACGGTAAAAATTGACTGACTTTGAAGTCGGGTGTCGGTCCTTTGTAATCTTCAAAGTACATGTATCATCCTAGCGATTGGTCAGGTTTGTTTACTTGAGACCAATCAAATAGCTGTCATTATGCCTTCAATTTTGCTATGACATATTCCAGGGGTGCAGACAGCGTAAGTGAGCATAATCCCGGGAGTATCGAGGATGGTTGATCAGCGGGACACTTCGCTTTGATTATAGATACCAAAAGGTATGCACATGTTGTGATTATGATCCTACTTTAAACAAGCCATTAAAGATATGATATAGCTATATGAAGTATTTGCTACATTAATTAAATCACTTTGGTTACAGTTTCCACTGGTAGCCCTCAGGAAACTACAGCCTTAGCGAAAGAAGCTCTGAGAACAGTTCTACGAAAGTCAGGCTCAGAATCCCCAACACACGATACCCATCTGTCCGACCCTACCGACGGACAGTTCAGTTTCTATAATAGCATCAACAGTGACCCTCTAGGAAACATGGACTTTAATCAGGACCAGTCTGATCCCTTTGAAACAGCTGAAGACTCTGAAAATGGCAGCCAGCAAAATAAAGTATTACTTCGAAGTCAATCAGAAATGTTAATGGAAGTGAGTAAATCTGGTATCCAAATTGCAAAAAGTGACACTAATTTGCCAAAGAAAAAAATACGGACAAAGTGTAAACCAGAAGATATCTTCTCCGACTCGGAAAGCCGGTCGCAAAAGAAAGACTCAGAAAATCTGGCAAAATCCTCTCCGAGCAAAAAACTAGGTCATAAAAGGTCAAGGTCAGATATTGGTGTTAAAAATGTTGTTACTGATTCTGTGGATGGGAAGGTGCTGGATTCTGACAAAGCTCAAACACTGGGAGGCAATGGACACAGTAAGTAGTGACCCTCCCCCTTCCCCTGGAATAAATATGCTGTGGCAAAATTGAAGGCACACAGTGAACTATTATTTGATTGGTTGCACATAAAGAAAAAAGCAAAAATCCTGACATATTCCAGGGGTACAGAGAAAATAAGAAAACGTAACCCCTTCAATTCTGAGGATGAAAAGTTTAGCACTGAAATGGAAGTTCAGAGGTGAAACCAGTATACATACCATATTTATCCCTTTTTCTGGTCTGTGAATTTCAACTCTTCACCATAATTTAACAGCTTACACAAAGTGTCAATTTTTTTTTTTTTTTATGAGAACTTTGAAAGGCTCTGCAAACATTGTAATTATTTCAAATAGCTTAGCCTCAGAGCATTTAATTGGTTAAATGATGTACAGAACTTTTTGAATTTGCTTTTTCCCCCCTTATTTTCTGATTCAGATTTTTGTGCAACACTATATCTTGAATAAATAGAATATTTCCTTTGATACCAGATATTTAGTGTATTGCCTATAGCACCAGATATTTAGTGTATTGCCTATAGCACCAGATATTTTTCTTTAGCGCCCTATATTTATTAAAAAACAATTTTGTGACATTTAAAAAGGAATGTTTGGGAGTCCTGAAGCACCATTTGCTTGATAAAATGTTACTAGTGTTAATCTGATGTAATTTAAATTAATGGAGGAAAGTTGTGTATCTTTTCAATTATTAATGAGTTGATAGTGGTTTTTTTTGTCTCGCCGACACAAAGTGGAAGCGAGACTTAGGTGTTGCTTTTCCGGCGACGGCTTCAACATTCAGTTTTTGCGTTTAAGTTAGTTTCTCTGAAAGTAAAAGTGCTAGATCAACCAAACTTGGACCATAGATGCATCTTCGGTAGTACAACTCAATTCATCAAATGTTGGATGCTGCCTACCTTTCATGGTCAATTGACTTTGTCAGCATCTCCATCAACATTAAGTTTTTGCGTTTAAGTTAGTTTCTCTGATTTGTATATTGATGGTCAAAGCGGGGCATAGGCAGACATATAAATCCGAATGGCGTGTTTATCATTATAAGCATTTGTTATATTTTTTCTATATAGATAATAAACATTTACAAACATCTAAACGATGACTTAAGAGTAAAACATTAACAATACATGAATTACAGACGATTAATGAGTTATTCCTGTTTTGGAAGTCATAGCCCTTTTTCTGTATTTGTTAAACAAAGTTTTATTTCAATCTATTGAACCCTATCAGGAAGTGACCATCTGCGAAGATCAGCGGCGCGAGAGGGCTACTTTCCCCAGCCCCAACAGGGCCAGTCCCTTATTAATTACCTTTCCTCTCAAGACTTTCACACCTGTGCTAACCTAGACAAGGTGAGTATAAATCTGCGTCAGGTGAGGAACACAGTTGACTAACTCAGTCCAGGTGAGTATAAATCTCCACCTGTGGTAAAATAGACAAGTTAAGTATACATCTGCATAACTTGAGGAAGAAATGAAAAAAAAGATATACTCTTTTTAACTTGTATGTCCCATATCCCCCTGCAATAGTGATCTTTGCACAACTGTGGTAAACTAAACAAGGTGGATTGTGCACCTGAAGTAATCTATATTAAACAAGTAGCACACCTGTGCTAGCCTTGACAAAATGAGGAGCACGCCTTTGCAAAATCAGATAGGTGAGTAGCAATATATATCATTTTATTATATGAATACCATGTTATGCAGTGTCATATACCTAAGTCACGTGTGTTATATCACTTCCAACTTATCGTTTCAAAAGGCTGCCAAGTGCAAAATATTCATTATAGATCACAATTATATAGTTTACTTTGTATTGTATGATATATAGAATCTGTCATTCGTTAACCTTCATATTAGATTTATGATACTGGTTATGGATTTTTCGTATTTTCGTTTTTCGTCAGAGGCTCCCAAACATGAAGAATCCAAAATTTGTGACATAAATCTAATATGAAGGGAAACGATTGACAGATCCTCTATATATATAAACGTAAATATGAATGAAGCTACTTTTCATATGCCCTTTAACATTTTTGATCGATGTATTATGGTATGGGGAGTGTCCATTCATATCATTGATGAAACTTGTTAAGTTGGTACGATCTATTAAAAAAAGTTTGACGTTAAACACAATCTGTGCATCATTGATTTGCATTCTGCACTTTGATTGGTTGACAGATCTAAACCTGACAATAACTTAATCAAACAAGACCATATATTTGGGTGAATATTCGTATAATATGAAGTTCAAAGTTGAACAAAACCTGCACACGATATTGGACAGGCATAGAATGCTCTGTCCCTTTTGTACATTTATTAATCTGTAGTGTTAAATTTGTAGGAGAATGCCCACTTCAGCATTTCGGAGGCTCTCATTGCTGCTATAGAGCAGATGAAATGGAATCACATCATCAGTCCTCACACTCACGAAGAGGATGAGGGGGACTCGGATGAGGAAATCCAGGAACTCAAACAACGAATCCGCGTACGCAAGCGAGAGCGCTTAAAAGAGGTTTGAGAATTTTGTGAATAAGCATCATAATTAAGTTGATTTATTGCAGTTAAAACTGCTTTTTAAATAAAATGATATCTCTATTTTTTTGTTCAAAAATCATTAAGCCTGTAATTGGCAGTGAGTTGAAGTTTTTGCTAAGCTTTCAAAAAAGTACTAGTTTTCAAAAGGAGCCGATTGATGTTGATAGGTTATTGTATCATAAACATTTTATTCCCTGTAAAGAAGCCGGTTCATAGTTCATGAAAAATGATTTGTTTTTGCCAGCAACCAGCTTTTTAATGAAAACAAAAGTTGGTTACACAAGATTCCAACCATGAACTCTGAGAGCTGGTGAGAAAGAAATCGGAATCATTGCTTGCAAATTACTCTCTTGATTATATTCGTCTAGCCTTAATCAAATGATTTAAGGTGGTCGGGTGATGCAGTGGATAACACTCTTGCCTTTCACCAAGGCGGTCGGGGTTTGATACCCCGATCAAACATGAAAGGTACAGGTCACCTACCCAGTCGCTGGGGTTTTCTCTTGTTACTCCAGTTTCTTCCCACATTAAGACACCCTGCTAGCTAACAAGAGTGATTAATATAAGTTGAAATAACTTGTTTTGTAATTGTTGTCAAATAAATAAAGTTTATATAGATCACAAGTGATATCTGAAAAAACTACGTTATTTTCTTCACTACAGAAAGGACGAGGTTTTCCTGCCTTCAGTGACGGAAGGACAGACAGTAAGCATACACACATTGTTGTTTTGTGGTGACGTCATTTGACTGTTGTTATGTAAACTTTTATTGCCTATTACATATTATCAATATCTTTGCGGGCACCTTTTATTTCCGTGTAATTCGTAAGCTTGTCTTTTTTTCGCTGTATTAAACTTGCTATGATTTTTCCTATCATTGTCTTTGATGCTGTAAAGACAATATTTTATTATAATTATTTCTTTGTGTGTAATTCTTCCTGTACTCTGTTGTTCAAAGTCTGTTAACTCACTCACCCCTGATATTTCATAATGAACTATTCCAACCTTTGAATTGGAAGAGTACAAATGTGTCTTCAGGGTTGAATGAGTTAACAACCTTGTAATAATAAAGAAAAAGATAGAAATTTATTCATTATTATTATTTATCATAATGTCACAGATTAGCATTATTAGAAATTATATCATAAGCTAAAAACAAGTAAGAATAATATCTTATATTTACATTCGCTCCCATTGAAGCTGTGTAAACCGTGACTGCGTATAAATTACTGTATACGCAGTGAGATTCCTTGGAGACCATTGTTTCCTATTGATGACGTAATTTACATTGTGACGTCATACAGGCTGTAGGCTGTTCATTTGTTTGGATTTACGCACGTTACGGAGGCTTTGTACCATTATAAAAGCAAATGTATTGGAGTTAGCTTTATTCTGAGTGTACCATCATAGTAGGAAAATATGTAAATATAATAATTGATCTTCAGTTTGACTGCGTATACGGTAGTATGAACGCAGTTGGCAACAAACATATTCTTTATGGAGCACTTACGCTGCTGGCTTCAGGTGACATCCTGAACTTGAAAAAAGTATCCACACAAATTGATCCATGTATGAAAATAGTCCGCCATTAACAAATCATTAAAAACTTGTTAAAATATATTTTGACACCATTTTAAGCGTAAAAGTACATAGGGTAAGCCATGATGATAATATAGTTTTGGAAATATCTTTCTACATAGCTTAAAGGTTCATGATTTTCCTCCGCGGAAATCTTCTATATGCTTGCATTAGTCACAGGCCTAGGATCTCTGTGATCATTAAGCTTAGAAGTCATTAAGAATATGTTTAGATGAGAAACAGTTTGTCATGCACTATTTTCAGTGTTTGTCGTTCAAACAATTTTCTCATTGATCACACGCGGATACAATTGCGGGTCCTCCTGCGGTGGTCTCTTGATTTTATCCATATGTCGTAATGTAACGACGTAATTATGATATAGTTAATCACTGAATCAATTCAATCCTCGTGACGTTTCAGGTAAGCAAGACTTTGAACAACTATCGGGAATGTAAATTGGCTGTTTTGAAAGGCAGATATTTATGTCTAGTTTCACAATTTTCATCATTTTGAGAATATGTTTATTCTTCCTTGCAGGAAATTAGAAGCAGAATTAAAAACTCAAAGCTACCGTCAAAATCGAATTGACAAACTGAAACAGTATTCTGTTTTTCTATAAAAAAATTTTAATGTCATTCTCAAAATTTTTGATGATTGTGAAACTTAAAGACAAAGCTTATCCAAAATTTTGTTTTCTACTGTTGAATGTTGTGTGCTGTATTTCTGTTTGTATAGCCACTACGAGTCAGAGCACTCCATCTCCTCTCAGTTCTTCTGTTGACTCGCCCGACAATCCAGGTTTGTGACCTCGCTAGAACACATGCTCTCTAGGATGATTTCACTATAGAGTGTACTACAAAACTCTACCAATGATCGTAGTTTAGTAAATATTCAACTGCTATTCACCTACATGTGATACCGTGGATGAGGGACCCCAGTCCCACTGCTCTGCTGTTTATGCTATATACAGTTACCTCCCCTTAACATCCGTTTGGATGGTTGAGCTAGAACACTTCTGTTGACCAGATTGATTGTAGTGAAATAATTTCTTAATAAAATTGATGAAGGTCATGATCAATTAAAAAATAGATACTGGTCTGATTTTGCGGGACCTTTGCAAATTTTGAAGTCCTTTCTAGACATTTATGATACTTTATGGTGTTTTTTTTCTGAGGAGTGGCATGGTTGGGGAGAGGGGGGATGTTTTAGGTGGTTGAAATACCTTGGCGTCGATCATCCTGATACTCTGGACAAGAAATTCTAGGTGACAGCCTGGGTAGCAAAATATAAAATCTCAAAGCTGAAAACTAGCAGGGCCAATAAACATTTATAGAGACGTTTTTCTCAAAATTTTGTTGGAGCCACATAACTCAAACTTCATTGAAAGATTTATTTTATAAAATATTTAAGGATTGACCTTCATATTGACAGCGTATAAGGTAGTATGAATGCAATTGGCAACAACAATATTCTATGGTGCATGTTGCCACTATTGTAACTACGGTAGCCGTGGTTGCTAGGACAATATAGTTCCATGAATCTACATCGATATAGGAGTAAATTTAGAAAAAACGCAGGGAACAACACTATTTTTTTTCCTTTCATGGTTTTTAACTTTTTAATCAAGCAGTGTGAGAAGCCCTTCAAACTTTTCTATTCATTTACAACGGTCATCATGTACGCGCAATGACACACTGCTCGTGGAGTGACGCGGTCAGAACAAAGCCGACATTGTTGATGTAACCGCCAAAGAAATTTGAATGTTATCTCACTGAAGCGTGAACGGCGCCATATTTGAAACAAATATCAATCCGCCGAGCCTTTTTTCACTGTGTATATGCTAATTTACGTATGTAGTCAGAGTTTACTAAGCTAAAGAAGGGAGACATATAAATATTTGCCAGTATATCAATTTCTTCTCTTTATTTGCTTTAAGGGGAAAAAAAACGATGTATATATATATGTAAAAAAACGTATGATCTAATATCTAAATTTCCTGATAACTGATGTTGTATCAAGTTATATTTATTTTGAAGATATTTGTTTTCATAAACTTTCAGACAGCTCTGAGTCAAGTGATTTGGATGAGGGAAGAATAGAACTGACAAGTAAGAAAATGTTGAAAATAATGTTTGTTTGTATCTTTTATGCATGAGCTGGTGTCACATTGGAGTAAAATCTGTTTAAAGTCGGCTGCCATTATTTTATCAATTTTTTATGCCATCCATTTTTATTTGCTGGCTGGAAAAACTGGCTGGTAGCTGGTCATACTATTACTGACTGTCAAATTATCCTTCCCAACTTTTTGAATTTTCCAGGGGAATGTTATGTGAGCTTTGAATTAAAAATGAATAAAATGTGCATATGTACAACCTAAGGAAAAATAACTCTTTTAAATGGAATCTTTTGAGCTGTTCTTTCAAATGAAATCTCCAGATCTTAGGAAATAGAAATAGTTTAGTTTCTGTTTGAAAATGCTTAATTATAGGCCTAGGGTCCAAAATTGGAATTCTCCCTCTAAGATATGGAGAGCTGGCAAGTATGTAATCTTAATTTGCCTAGCATCTTTTATTTAATATCCACCATATCCACTTTTCAATAAATTCTATAATTTCATTTAAAAAACTATTTCACGTTTTCAAAGTTTTTCAATGTTGTTTAATTTGTTACTCATTCAAACCTGTGTACCAAATCAGTAAATGGGTTATAATTTTACGAATAATTTGAGTATGAAAATTCTATTTCAGTGACGGAGGATGTGAGCCAGAACCCATCTAACCTGTCGTTGTTATCGTCACAAGGCTTATCTTTATCTCTAGCCTCCCTGTACTCCGGTAAGATTCCCCCCTTATCTCTAGCCTCCCTGTACTCCGGTAAGATTCCCCCCTTATCTCTAGCCTCCCTGTACTCCGGTAAGATTCCCTCCCTTATCTCTAGCCTCCCTGTACTCCGGTAAGATTCCCCCCTTATCTCTAGCCTCCCTGTACTCCGGTAAGATTCCCCCCATTATCTCTAGTCTCCCTGTACTCCGGTAAGATTCCCCCCTTATCTCTAGCCTCCCTCTCCTCCGGCAAGATTCCCCCCTTATCTCAAGCCTCCCTGTACTCCGGCAAGATTTCCCCCCCTATCTCTAGCCTCCCTGCACTCCGGTAAGATTCCCTCCCTTATCTCTAGCCGCCCTGTACTCCGGTAAGCTTCCCCTCCATTTTCTCTAGCCTCCCTGTACTCCAGTAAGCTTCCCCCCTTACCTCTAGCCTCCCTGTACTCTGGTAAGATTCCCCCCCTTATCTCTTGCTTCCCTGTACTCCTGTAAGCTTCCCCCCTTACCTCTAGCCTCCCTGTACGCCGGTAAGATTCCCCCCTTAGCTCTAGCCTTCCTGTACTACGGTAAGATTCCCCTCCCTTATCTCTAGCCTCCCCGTTCTCCAGTTATATTTCCCCCCTTATCTCTCGCCTTCCTGTACTCCGGCAAGATTCCCCCCTTATCTCTTGCTTCCCTGTACTCCAGTAAGCTTCCCCCCTTACCTCTAGCCTCCCTGTACGCCGGTAAGATTCCCCCCCTTATCTCTTGCTTCCCTGTACTCCTGTAAGCTTCCCCCCTTACCTCTAGCCTCCCTGTACTCCGGGAAGATTCCCCCCTTATCTCAAGCCTCCCTGTACTCCGGTAAGATTCCCCCCTTATCTCTAGCCTTCCTGTACTCCGGTAAGATTTCCCCCCTTATCTCTAGCCTTCCTGTACTCCGGTAAGATTTCTCCCCCCTTATCTCTAGCCTCCCTGTACTCCGGTAAGATTCCCCTCCATTATCTCTAGCCTCCCTGTACTCCGGTAAGATTCCCCCCTTATCTCTAGCCTTCCTGTACTCCGGTAAGATTTCCCCCCTTATCTCTAGCCT